GGGCCGCTTGGGGGACTCCTGGGGCGCTCGGGGGGGCATTTGGGGGGCCTCCTGGGGCCGCTTGGGGGACTCTTGGGGGCCTCCTGAGGGCCCCGTGGGGGCCTCTTGGGGCCTCTTAGGGGCCTCGTAGGGGCTTCTTAGGGCCGAGGGCTCGAAATGTTGTTTCGTGTTCCCTCTCTGGGGCCCCTTTGGGGGCGTTCTTGGGGCCCTCTTGGACCGTTTTGGAGGCTTCTTGGGCCGTCTTCGAGCCCTCTTGGGCCATCTTGGGGCCCTCTTGGGTGCCTCTTGGGCCCTCTTGGGGCGATCTTGGGGGCCTCTTGGGCCGTCTTGGGGCGTCGGGAAGCCGAAAAGGTGGAAGCTCCAAAATCTCTCAAAAACCTATGGAAAAACAATGATTTTTGCCTCCGGGGGCCCTATTGGGAGTGCTCTTGGAGGCCTCTTGGGGCGTCTGGGGGCTATCTTGGGCGTCTTGGAGCGATCTTGTGGCATGTCGGACCCCTCGTGTACCATCTTGGGGGCCTCTTGGGGGCCTCTTGGCCTTTCTTGGGGCTCTCGGGGACGTCTCGGAGCCCTGTTGGTGCGCTCATGGAGCGCTCGGGGGGACCCGGCCGGGACCCGGCCGGGGACCGGCCGGGACCTAGTCGGGGTACTTTTCGTCCGGGGACCCCCAGGGGCCGCCCCGCGCGCGCGAACTAGAAAATTGTTAACCAGTTACCGGAGATCTTAGCACGCCTCTGGCCCGTTGGGCCGGCGAATTTTTTTTTCTAGGTTTTTGGCCTTCTCGTTTTTTCTGGGTTCCGACGCTCCAAGACCGTCCACGAGTCTCCCAAAACCGCTCCAAGACGGCCGAAAAGGCCTCCAATACCGCCCCAAGACGGCCCAAGAGACCCCCAAAATCGTCCCAAGTGGACCCCGGGTGAGTTGATGGGGTGGAGGGGGGTGGCGGCGACTTGCGCATGGCGCTCGCGCAGCTGGGTGCAGCTCCCGCAAGGGTTCGGAACGGGCGGAGGGTATCGGGGCGGGGCGGGCCGCGCGATGGGCAATTTGCATCCAAGTTTCCCGAGAGCAGCCAAGGGGTGGCTCGTTCTGGTGATTCTTAGGTTAGGACGCTAATGCTTAGCGGGGGTCGGCCGGGGGGGTTGGCCTGCGCGATCGCCCATTTGCATAGGGCACTTATGCAAATGCCCTCAAAACTGAGACGCCCAAGCGCGCCAGGGGTTGGCCCGTCTTGGTCGCCATTTGCAAAGGGCGCCAATGCAAAAATAAAACCGGGCGCCACAGGAGTGCTCACATTTTCAGTTTGGGGTCCCTGGCAAGGTGAAGGGGGGGAACTATCTCACGCGCCTAAAGATCCCAAAAGGGTCGGCGGATTTTCTTGACTTGGCATTTTTGCTTGGCTCCATCCTGGAGAGGGCCTGCCGCCCTCCAGGCAGCACGTGCTGCAGTGGCGCACACGGGCTGCCGTAATCGGCATTCTTGCTTCGTTTTTGTTTCGAGGTTTTTGGCCTTCTCGCTTTTTCGGGGTTCCGACGCTCCAAGACCGTCCAAGAGTCTCCCAAAACCGCTCCCAGACGGCCGAAGAGGTCCCCAAGACCGCCCCATGACGGCCCAAGAGACTTCCAAAATCGTCCCAAGACGGCCCAGGAGAGCCCCAAGATGGCCCAGGAACCGCCCAAGACGGTTCCAGGAGAGCCCCGACAGGGCTTCAAGATTGCCTAAGCGAGCCCAGCGGGCCCCAAGAGGGCCCCGCGAGGCCCCAAGAGGCCCCAAAGAGGCCCCCAAGAGCCTCCCCCGAGGCCCCCAAGAGGCCCCAAAGATGCCCAAAAATGGCCCAGAGCGCGCCCCAAGACGCCTCCAGGAAAGCCCAACAGGCCTCCGAGAGGCCCCCAAGAGGCCCGCTGGAGGCCCTCAGGAGGTCGTCCCCGTCATGTTCCCGGAAGGCGGTCCGGGAACATGATTCCGCGCCTTGGAGGAGTATCCTGCACCTTCCGAGGCGCCTTGGACGACGTACGATTCATATTCTTGAACGCTCTCTGGGAACATGATTTCTCACCGTTTCGGAACGCTGTCCTACTGCTGCGGTGCTCTGGGGGGAAGGGACGGGGGTCCGGGAACATGATCGGGAGGTTAGGGAACGAGGGTTTGGAGAGGAGCAGTAGGACAGACGGACGGGGCCTGCAAGACGGCTCCGATACGGCCCAAAGCGTCATGGAGAGAGCTTCGATACGGCCCAGCACTACGCCAGAGAGATCCCCCCGATCATGTTCCCAGAGCGGTCCGGGAACATTTTGTCCTGCATTGGAGCGGTAGCGACTGGGACACAGCGGCGTCGTCGCCGACGTATTCGTCGCTGCCGCCGCCGTCGTCGTCGTCGTGGTCGTCGTCGTCGTCGTCGTCGTCGTCGGTCGTCGGTGGTTGCTGGACCGGGGTGCCGAGTGAAAATTGCTTGGAGCTCCGGCGTCGTTTTGGTATCATCGTCGTCGCCGCAGCCGTCGCCGTCGCTGCCGCCGCCGCCGTCGACGCCGCCGCCGCTGGGGGGTTGAGATCGTAGGTTGGGGGGTGAGATCGTAGTGGAACGGAGACTCTTAACCGGGAAATCGTTTCGTTTCGTTTATGTCGTGCGTGTGGGCGAGGCGAAGCTGCGCGGGCGCGCAAGAAGAATGAACCCGCCGTTGCTAGGGCGAAGTCAAGACAAATGATTATCCCCCGTCCGTCCGTCCGTCCGGCGGTGGCTCGCAGCGTGCCCCGGTGTCCCGCGGTGTCCCGTGGTGTCCCGTGGTGTCCCGTTGAGCGAGATCGATAGTGAGATCGATACTGAGATCAATGTGGTACCCCCAGGTGTCCCGTGGTGTCCCCGAAAGTGAGGTCGATCGTGAGATCGATCGTGAGATCGACAGGTGCCCCGTGGTGTCCCGTGGTGTCCCCTTGAGTGAGATCGATAGTGAGATCGATATTGAGATCGACGTGGTGCCCCGAAGTTTTCCGTGGTGTCCCAAATAAATAGATCGATAATGGGATCGATAGTGAGATCGACAAATGTCCCGTGGTGTCCCGTGGTGTCCCGTTGAGTGAGATCGATGCTGAGATCGATACTGAGATCGATAATGAGATCGATGTGGTGCCCCCGAGGTGTCCCGTGGTGTGTCCTGTGGTGTCTCGTTGAGTGGGGTCGATTGTAACATCGATAGTGAGATCGACCAATGTCCCGTGGTGTACCGTAGCAACTTGTTGAGTGAGATCGGTTGAGTCAGACGTTGGTTTCCCCCTCCCCCCCCACACACAACCTCCTCATCACCCGAAGGGTGGTCGTATAGGTATATGTATTTATACATAGATACATATATACACAGACATATATACATGTATACATAATAGACATTCATGAGCCGATACACATATATATGGATAACTATACGTATGTGTGTATGACTGTGTGTATGTATGTATGTACGTATGAATGTACGTTTGTATGCTTGTTTGTTTGTGTGTATGCATGTGTGTATGTATGTATGTATGTATGTATGTATGTATGTATGCCTGTATGTACGCATGTGTGTGCGAGGACACTTGCATCTATACACACACGCAAGCATATGCATATATATGTATATGTGTATATATGTACATATATTTATGTACAAATATATACACAGCCAAACATACATGTGTACATGTATGTGTGTATGCATATGTACATGTATATGTGTATATATACATGTTTACATACATATATGTATATATACACATACATACACCCATACATACATACATTCATACATGCATTCATACGTACATACAGACATACATACATACACACACATACATACATACATACATACATACACACATACATACATACATACATACATACATTCATAAATACATACATACATACATACATACATACATACATACATACATACATACATACATACATACAGTCATGCATGCATGCATGCATACATACATACATACATATCCTTGGGGGCGAGGCCGTGGGCACCAGGACAGGTGCCTCGACTTTCCATGGCGGGGCGGGGGGGGGGCCTGGAACCTCCCTGGAGCAGCCCAGGCGGCCCAAGAGTGCCCCAAAAACGCTCCACGACAGGCCCAGCAGGCTCCAAGAGGCCCAGGAGGGCGCCAAGAGGGCCCCAAGATGCCCAAGATAATCCCAAGACGGCCAAAGAGGCCCCAAAGACGCTCCAAGAGGCCTCCAAGAGGCCCCCCCAGAGGGCCCCAAGAGGGCAAAATCGCTTATTTTATTTAATCGCTTCGCTCATTCCGCCGGCCCATATTGTCGCACCGTTGTGGGCTAGCCGAGTTTTTGGGGCCTCTTGGGGGCCGTTTTGGGGCCTCTTGGGGCCTCTTTTGGGCCTCTTGGGCGCCTCTTGGGGCGTCTTGGGGGCCTCTTGGGGGCCTCTTGGGGCCTTTTTGGGGCCTCCTGGGCGCCTTCTGGGGCGGAGGGCTCGATTTTTCAGTTCTCGGTTCCCCTCTTGAGCCCCTCTTGGGCCCGTCTTGGGGCCTCTTGGTCCGTCTTGGGCGGCACTTGGGCCGTCTTGGGGGCCCTCCTGGGCCGTTCCGGGGCCGTCTTGGGAGCATCGTGGGCCGTCTTGGAGCGGTCTTGGGAGCCTCTTGGGCCGTCTTGGAGCGTCCGGAAGCCGAAAAAGCCAGAACGCAAAAAACATGGAACAAAAACAATGAACATCAACGATGTTGGCCTCTTGGGGCCCTCTTCGGAGGCCTCTTGGAAGGCCCTTGGGGCGTCTTGGAGGCCTCTTGGGCTGTCTTGGGGCCCTGTTGGGCGTCTTCGGGCGATCTTTGGCCGTCTCGGGGCCCTCTTGGACCGTCTTGGAGGCTTCTTGGGGACCTCTTGGCCCGTCTTGGGGCCCTGTAACAGGGCTCCGGCATCTCTGGCCCGACCTTGCCGGGGTACTTTTCGTCCGGGGACCCCCAGGGGCCGCCCCGCGCGCGCGAACTAGAAATACTGTTAACCAGGCACCGGAGATCTTAGCACGCCTTGGCCCGTTGGGCTGGCGATCCTAAGACGGCCGAAGAGGCCCCAAAGACGCTCCAAGAGGCCTCCAAGAGGCCCCCCCAGAGGGCCCCAAGAGGGCAAAATCGTTTATTTTATTTTAGATTTTGGACAAATTGTGCCTTTCCCGCCTTTTCAGCTTTCCGACGCTCCACGACGGCTCAGAGAACCCCAGCGGACGCCCCAACACAGCCCAAGAGGCCTCCAAGAGGGCCTCAAGTCGGCTCTGGAAGGCCCCAAGACGGCCCAAGATGGGCGAAGAGAGGCCCAAGACGGCCCCAAGAGGGCCCCAAGAGGGGAACCGCGAACCGGAAATTCGAGCCTCCCGCCTCCACAGGGCCCCGGGAGGCCCCAAAGGGGCCCCAAGAGGCCGCAGGAGACCCCCAAGAGGCACCAGGAGGCCCAAACGAGGCTTCAAGAGGCTCCCAAACAGCCCCGAGGAACCTCACAACGGACGGTGCGGACGAGCCGCACTTCGGACCGCCGCCGCCGCCGGTCCAAGAAAACGGCCTCTGGACGCCATGCGCGCCGTGGCCCTCCTGCGGTGGCACCTCCCGCCCCGGGCCACCGCAGAGGCCCTCACGCTCTTGTTCGACTGCCGTTCTGGGTCGGGACTCTTTTGGCGCTCCTCGCTCCCCGTCCCCTTTCCTTTCCTCCCTTCCTTTGGAGTCGGCTGGGGGTCTGAGGTGGCCTAGCATTGTTCCTGGCGAGCAGGAAGGGGGGAATCGAGGTTCGAGGTCCTGGGTTCGAGAAGGTTTTTGCCTTCTCCAGCTTCTGGGAGCCGTTTTCGGGTCCCGAGACCGTCAACAACACATCCGGGATGACGATTTGCCCCAGATGGTGCAAATTGTCATCATGACAATGATGATGATGATGGTGATGATGATGATCATGATCATGATGCTGATGATGGTGCTGATGAGGATGAGGATGATGATGGGAATGAGGATGAGGATGATGCTGATGATGATCATGATGATGGTGATGAGGATGATGATGCTGATCATGATCATGATCATGATCATGATGATTATGATGATGATGATGATGATGATGATGATGATGATGATGATGATGATGATGATGATGATGATGAAGACGATGCGCGAGTTTGGCGATACGGTATGGCTCGCAGCACTGGGCCAATGATGTTCCTCATGATGTGGGCGTTGTCTTGCTGCCATGTGATGAATCTGAGCATGATGATTCTGATGCTGACGGTGGGTGGAATGATGAGGAGGAGTATGAGGGTGAGGATGGGGATGAGGACGAGGGCGAGGATGGGTGCGACTGAGTCACGCGGTTGTGCACGATGGCGCTGTCCGAGCTCTTCCAGCGACCCCCTGGCCTGCGCTTTCACTGCCAACTCCACACAGAATGTGTGTGGAGTTGGCAGTGAAAGAGAGAGGGAGAGGGAGACATCTAGATGTGTGTGTACAGAGAGACAACAAGAGTAATACATATATCTATAGAGTAAGAGAGCTGTCCCAGCGTCCCCAGACGGTTTCGAGACGCTCCGAAGACCGCCTCCAGGTGTCTCCAGCGGCTCGCGATGCGTCTGAAGTTGCCGAGGACGTCCCCC